CACTGACAGATGTAGTTCATTCTGAGAATATTATTAAGCTATGTTGCTCTTTTGGTTGTTGAACTCACAGGCGTTTCTGTAGTGATCGTACTATGAGTATTTCATCAATTTGGCCCAATTTCTGATCATTTTTTAGATGTGCTACTCTCCACAAATGTTATCTCTAAAGGTTCTTAAGAAACGATTATTCGTAGCATGATTACATAATTAGGAAACAGTATTCCTAAGCTAAAAAACGTAATCTTAGGCCCAACTTACTTCTTGTACATTCAAGACCTAGTTGGAGCAACTTTTTAAAAGAATGATAAATGGAAACTTTCTTTACCTGACCTATCATTTGTTCTGTAGACTTAATGACATTCAGTACTATTACATTCACTGCTAGGGCCTTGGGGGGAAAAAGAGAATATTTATACATTGAGTTATGGACAGATGTAGGAGGGAAAAAAAAGGAGATGGGCAGGAAGTCAGACTGTATAGAACAGAGAAGAATTTGAGACCTTCACTCTACATGGATTAATCACAAAGACTAACCACGCAGATCCAAATGGATATTTAGAAATTGGTGAAGCCTCTAAGATGTTCTGTTGAAAACACCGTACATTTTCTAATGCATGAGTATGTGCAAAATGGTGTGTAATTTATAATGGAAATGTTGACAGAGTTTTAGCTTTGGTGCTGCAAATGTGCTCTATAATATATTTACATATGAGTAACATTCCACATATATGGTCACGTTTAGACCCAACATATTTCTTTAGTTGGTGTTAGATTCAATAACTTAGGTGAATGGTTGTAATAAGGAATAATAAGCTGCAGTTTTGCTAATCTTACTATAGTTCAGCTTTGGGAGCTGCATTACTATTAAATTGGTCCATGAAAATCTGGCAATATTAATTCTATCAAGCATGAAGACTAACTGGATTTGGATCAGGGAGCTTTATTTATAGCATTTTAGTGAGGATTTATTAGTTTAAAGAGGGAGCTGTGTGTCTCATGGGTTCTTAAATATTAAATAGAGTAGGAAGTCATGTGCTCCTTTCCAATAGCAACAGCAGTTATAACAAAAAATAAAAAATTTCAGACAATTTTACGTTAATTTCAATTTTCTCGTGTTATCCAAAAATACTTGGTGAAGTAATAGCAAACCCTAGAAAATTTTTAACCACACCATATAAACAACACAGTTGATTGCAGATGTGAGTAGAGTCTTTATAATATAGCTTACAATTAATTAGAAAGGAAATAAAAGATGATGACTTAGACTAACATGAAAAAAATTGAGTCTTTACATACTGAATAAGCAAACATGTATTTCTATGTTTTATCTGTTGTTATTCTCATAGTTTGGCTTTTTAAAAATGCTTTAAACTGCTTTCTGTCTTTTTTCATTTCTTTGGTAAAATTGTCATTATGGCCTGTTTTTGTCCCCGAATAGTACCCGCAAGTTCAGGACTAGGCGGGTTTACTGTAAGTTAAAATAGTTACAAGGGGAACATCATCATGGTTCATTTTTCCCCTTCTTTTATTTGGAATTGAATTAGTAAATGAAAGTTTTTTGCAGTTTAATTCACTTCTCCATAAAGTTTATGGAGCAGCAACAGCTGGTTGAATCTGTGGCAGAAAAAGCCAACTTCTAGTGGCCAAGCTATTGTTTCAGAATTAAGGGGGAAAACTCATTAACTGTTAATGAAAACACAGGGAATAAAAACAAATAGCACAGAAACCCTAGCAAATAATTACCTTACACCTGACACAAAGCTGCTTTATCTTTCTGCTCCAACCCTCAGAAATTCCCAACTTATCACTCTATAGAGCATGAATGAAATTGAGTTTGACTCTCAGAAAAGAACAATAGAGAAATCATCCCACTTATGGGCCCCTCAGCACGATACTCAGTGGAGAACCTGCCATTGAATATACTAAGGAGTGTATCTAGCGCCCAATTCTTATGACACTTAGGATAGAGGAGCAAATTACCTGCTAATAGCAGGTGAACCCTTGGTATAGTTCCCGTAGATCTTGTTTAGAAATACAGGGAGAAAGAACTGAAGGTAGTGGATGTGATTAATGGAGATATGGTGTGTTAGAATATATATCTGTACAGAAATATATTGATTCTGAGCGAGTTGCAGTGGGAAAGTATGTCTCTGGTGGCAAGGGGTCTTGCTTGTGAGAAAGCCACTCTAAGCAGATGGAGTTCTAAGCCCTAATTGTAGAGCTGCTGAGTGGAAATATCTGTCACTATAGTTTGTGATCATTTATGTCTGATCCCACTGGACTACAGTCGTGGCCACTTGGAACCGCAATTGTCAGAGCTGTAGACGAATTCAGAGAACATGTGCGGTTATGTTTTAAGGAAAAATGATGTTCTAAACTTAAACAAATCCGAAATGACCACAGTAATTGCTGTTCTTCTATAAAACTTTTCACCCATGCATCTTGAGTAGCTGTAATCATTTTAATTACATGGGAGTGTCTATTTGTATAGTGTTACAGGCTTGTTTCTGTGTGTGCCCAAGGGAGTTGGACCACTTGATATGACGCTAAAAACACTTATAGCAACATCTCCATCATCAGGAACTAATTGCACTTGAATGTGAAGCATATTTTTAAGTGTTCCCCCACCACAACCATTTGCAGCACTGACCTAGGCTCTGTTTTGCCACACTGAGTTGCGTACCTTCATTGTTGCATACTTTACAGAGGAACGAACGGTCTCATATTTGACACAGGGGTGGCTGTGAAAAGCCCACTTTGGGTAAGTATACTCAGAAACTACAGGAATCACATGGAATTGACTTTTCCATCTGAAGTTAGTAAATCAAGTGGCAAATCCAGGCAGGTGTTTTGGGTAAGACTTTAAAAACTGAAGCTGTAAATGCAATACGATATCCTGGATTGGATCCTGAAACAGAAAAAGGACATTAATGGAAAAAACTTGTGAAATCCAAACAAAGTCTGTAGTTTAGTAAATAGCAATGTACCAATGTTGATTTCTTGGTTTTGGCAGATATACCTTAGTTATGTAAGAAGTTGACATTGGGAGAAACTGAGTGAAAGGTAGATAGGAACTTTGTACTGTCTTTGCAACACTTATATACATCTAAAATCATTCCAAAATTAAAAGTTCATTAAAAAAAACAACAAAAATAAAAAAATAAATAAAAAACACAACAAAAACCCTTCCTGATCTGTGTATTTAAAAAAGAAAGCTTAGAATACTATTAATAGAATGTATAGGAGTAGGTTCTTTCCCTTTAGTGGTAGATTTGTCGAATTTCTGAAGCAAGCAGAAAACGTTGAGTCCACAATGATAGTTGATAAATAATATTTAGTATTTCCCACAAATGTTAAATTTTGCCTGGCAATTCAAACTACCTTTTTCTGTTTTTTTATCTTTTTAAGGATTTTCATTTGGTTCAAAATAAAAATTCTTTTTAACTTTGCAGCTCACTTTCAGATTGCCAGCCAGATAGTCCATTTAGACTGTGTTGATAATATAATTTCAGTGGATTTGCAGTGATGTAAAATTTGACCATTTTAACCCTCAGTCCAGTATTTGAGAATTTTTCTTTATTATGGAAATTACACAGTGATGCTTTAAACATAGCTATAAACTTTGTATCCTGATCAGTAAACTAATAAAGGAGAGCATTTCTGCTGGCTTTGGCCAATGAATGTTGTGAGAGGTTTTTAAAATTTTTACTTTTCTTTTCCATAATAAACTCTACAGTTTATTTTCTAAAGTCCTATATCTGCAGGTGTACGACTCAGTTATGGATATCTACTACTATTGAGCATTCGAAGAAGAGTCTAGATGTGATCATCTAATTTATGGAAAGAGAAGGCTACAGCCATTCTCTTTTTATCATTTTATATCCTCCCTATCTTTCTAGTTTAATTGTAGGAAATAAACCTTTAAAGTGAGGCAATACAGATTCTATGTAGGTTGTTTGGTTTCACTGCTCCCTAGTTGAAATCCAGGGCCAAAACTCTGCAGTGTTTACTGAGATTAGCACTGGTGATTTCCTTTGGAAATTAGTATTTGAGATAATATTAAATTCAATTGAAAATCCCCTTTTCATGTTTGTAAAATGAACCAAGCAGCTGTCGGTGTCCTTTTATCAGCAGACGGTACCTCTGTTTGGGGGATTTTAAGAAAAGCTATTTGCAATGCAGAGCCTTTTCTTACGGTTTCTGAATGAGCTAACATCTTCCGTCTGAACCTTTTAAAGTATCATAATAGCATCGGCCACTTCTACAAAATACAATCCAATGTATGTTAAAAACACCCAAAAGGGATTAGCATTGTTTTTAATTGCATAATTCAGTATTATATATGCATTACCTTTTATCAAAGCCATTTTACAGAACAAATATTACCTTCTTAGAGCTTTTAGAATTCCTAGGAGGTTGGTTGCAGAGGCTGTAAACTAGAATTACAAAGAGAGAACTTTGTTAAGGTTGCAGAACAAACAGGAATAGAATCCAGCAAAGTCTAGGTTCTCTCTATTTTTACTTCTCTTTACTTTTCAGAGAAGGAAAGAATACTGGCCTTGCTACATTATATTATTATGTATAGAGGGTTAACCTTTGTGTCGTTCCTTTTATTTTATTTGGAAATATAAAGAGAAAGAGGCATTCAGGGTAAAGTTGTAATTATTAACTACATAGTATATATGAATACAAATTTATATAGCTATGTTTTCATTTTAAGTATGATGGAGAAGTTTATCTCTGGTTCCAAGAGGTCTTCCCACTCTAAGCTAACAGTTTCTAAATTCTAGTGATAGAGTTACTTGAGTGGAAAATTTTCCGTCAGGTAAGTTGGTTCTTAAACTTATTTATCTATTTCTCATATGTTAATGGATAATGGCCATGTTCATCATCAAGTGAAAGATACATCTTTTTTTTTGCAAATACCAGAAGAGATATACAAATACTTTTATAAAGATGTCCAAAGGATGACTTTATTTTCTTTCTTTTTTGTCCCTCAGGGGGAGATCTTGGACAGGACAGCTTTGATGACAATCACAGTGGAACTCTTGGCCTGTCCCTCACATCTGATGCACGCTTTTTGTCTGATTATCAGGAAGAGGGTGAGTCTCATCTTTCTAGCTTTTGGGTGACCACTATATTTTGATACCTTTTGTCCTGGCATCTTTGCCTTTTGTCACTTTGCATCCCGCAGCCTTTAGTGGATTCTCTGTATTGGTAATCACTATTTTGCAAAGAGCAACTATTTGTTTCGCTGTGGTGCTGATCCTCCTGGGTAATTCAATACTTCTGAAGTTAATGTATTTAGGGAAACACTAATTCCATATTGGAACAGGAAGACATCATTATTGATCTTTTTATAAAAACAGTAGCTCAAAAGCTAAGAGGACATTTTAAGATTGCAGGGCTCCATTTTTACCGTTCTCTTGGCTTTCTTAGCTTCATTGAGTTGCATGAGATTTGGAGCTTTCATTTAATGATTATTGGATTATTAATTTATTGTGGATCATTGGAGACCCTTGAGCTCATCATACTGTAATAGATATCATTTCACCTGCACTTCTCACATACCGCTGACCATACTGGTGTTGTTCAAGAGGGGGTAAAATGAGGAGGCATCGGAACTATAATGCCATTCTTCCTGGAGCATCAATTTTACTTGAATGTTTGGGAGTGGGAGGAGTTAAATAATTCAACAGTTATAAACCTTATTTTTATATTCAAAACTCAATGATAAATAACAGAGTGGAATGTAAAATATACATGTATTTTTATGGTAAGATATACAAATATAAAGATTTTGGCCTAGTGACTGCCAGTTTCTGGCTCAGGCTCAGATTTTCCCAGTGTGGGGGATCACTGTGCCTCTTCTGGCATTTGGCCACTTGAGCAGAAGGTTTCATCATCATGGATGTGCACGATTTTCTTATCAGAGTCTCTTTTGTGCCTTTCCAGTAGGATTAAAAAGGTAGAAATGCTACTAAATTCAACATTAAATTGGAACCATCTTATTCACTTAAGGGTTGGGAATAAAGTTGGTAAATCATTTCTTATGTCTCTTTATTAGTCTGTAATCTTTCCATTTCTTTTTCTTTAAATTTCAAGACCTCATAATCGCTATTTCCCCCTCCCTTTTTATGTTGCACATTAATGGTTGTTTCATTTAGTCCTTTTGACAATTTGTATTTTCTCTTTTTCATTGAATTAATAACCTCCACATAAGAACTGTGGGTTGAATCACACAGAAACATTTTATTTTGCTTGAGCTTTGTATACTAGCACAATTAGTAATGCCCAAGTTTTAAAAGGGGCTTTGTAATACAGGATCTGAATATTGGTTCAGCTATTACACTAAAAACATTGTTTGGATTGAAAGCTTAATACTTACATTGGTAGCTCATTAATAATTATAGAAAATTAACAGTGCGAAACATGAAGAAATCAACCTTTCATTTGTTTCTGATTAATCTAATGCTTGATAGAATTAGAACAATAGTGCCTCATTAATCCTTAGGTCACTTACTTGGTATTTCCAACTTTCCCAAATACAACTGAGAACACAATAAGTAAGCCAGAAAGACCTCTAAGTGAAAATAGATGTTAGTGAGCCCTGAGTTAACACTTATGTACCTTATTCTTAGGAGAGCTCCTGAGGAATCCTCTTCGTGTAAATTTCTAACCAATATAGTGCTTTGGTTTCTCAGCCCACATTAAGGCTTCATATTAGAAGAAGGGGTATTGTAAAGGCATCAATTAACAAGTAACATTGAGGTAAGAAACAGGAAAACAATTAAAACTTTATATAGAAAACAAAATTTATAAATAAAATTTATATAAGAATTAAAAAAAGCCGACAGTCTGGGACCATATTGTATTATAGAAAAGAAGAGTACAAACTCTCCCCTAAGAGCTCAGTACCTTAGTAAATTAAATCTTTTAAAGCTAGCATTTATTGAGCAATTGTTATGTGCCTTGCATCATCTGTGTTCTAAGCACTTTGCATATATCATCATTTAATCCTCAGAACAGCCCTAAGAGATAGATATTAGGATGTTCCTCAATTTACAGACAAGGAAACTGAGACTCAGGGAAGATCACACAGCTAGTAAGTATTAATAGTAGTGCCAGGATTTACACCTACATAGTCTGGTTGTAAAACCTCTGCTCTTAATCACTCTACTGTCCTTACCACTGTCCTTATCTGAGCTATCCAGAAAGGTGGATTCATATTCCAGACATTTTGGCTAAGACCATACAGATACAAACAGTATGTTTAAAAATATTTTCATTAAAAATAGTTGCAATTTTAAAAATAGTAACATTTGATGTGCTACTTATTCATTATTTTAACAAATGCTTATTTAAAAATTCCGAGGTAATACCCAGGCACTAGGCTAAGCTGAAAGTAAAATATGCAGTGAAAAAGCAGACATGGTCCCTGCCCTCATGGAGCTTACCATCTCATGGGGGAAACACACTATTAATAAGCAGACAAACAAATATAAAGTTAGTGTCTTTATTTGCTGGTGAGATAGCTAAGGCAATTCTTTAGGAAGTAAAGATAATTCTCTTTTAACCTTTATTGTAGTGAGAGTTATTTTAGGCTCTTGGAATTTTATCTTTATTAGAAAATGTTAAAACATTTCTGTTTTATTGTCTTCCACCCCCAGCCAGAGCAGTGTCCTAGACTTACAATTATTAAAGGACACATGGTCTAACCCGTCCATCCATAACTTTAGGGATGAGAAGCAATAACCATGGTGCGTGTCGTGTTTGGGTCATGCCTTTGTGAAAACTACAAAGAGATCTAGAAGAATATAGAAACCTGGCCAGGTGCACCACAAAAATGAAAACCAAGGTTACAGGTTAACCCATGCGTAAAAATGAGAGCATATTGCTACCTAATCACAATTCCTTCTCCTTTTTCTTTGTAAATGCCCATGATTCGAAGGCAGGCTATATCTTATGGAAAGACCCCTACAAGAACATAGCCCCACATTGGGAGTGAAAACTTGCTAACAAGTAATAAAATTTACATTTCTAAACTAAAAACCATAATTTCTACCATATGGAAGGAAAAAAAAACTAGTTGGTAACATTGATTACGATAACTGTGCCAAAGCCAGACAACTGTGAAGTTCAGGCTCTGATCGTTTTCAGTGTCCAAAATATACAATGGATTTTACTGTGTCTGTAAGCTCATTTTGTTGGTATAATAAAGAATTCCTATGTATCTACATTATTTTTAAAGATAGGTTGGATAAAGTAATCATTCTATAAACTAGATATAGTGACTCCTTCTGGAAGAAAGAGAAAAAATAAAATTATTTTGGAAGAAACCTAAAATATGTAATAATGTATTATTTAGTATGCATTATTACATTCTAATTAAAGAAAAGGGGTGAATGGATATATTGGACAGATAAATATAGAAAGAAGTAAGAATGTTTTTAGACCTTATTTTTCATCCAAGTATTGAAGGTTAGAGAAGGTTCTTATTCTCCAGCAAAATGAGAAACAGAATTGGGAAAGTAAAGACCCGTAACTATTATTGGAAAAGAGTAGTAATACATAACTGAAGAGCCTGTTGTTGATTAATTTATTATATACCTGTTGATTTAAAAGAAATTTCAAACCTGGTAAAGTATCAATAGTGGCCATTTTCAACTCCATGCCTTTTATGAAAGGTACATTCAAAAATATATAGAATATTCTAGAAATAAAGAGAATCCATTTTTTTACAATGTTATTTTTAGCACTTTTTTTTTTTTTACATTTCTCTGCTTTCATTTTAGTTCTGAAATACAAGTCAGTTTTTGATTTAAGATTATAAATAATAATAAACTAGCTTTTGTTGATCATTGTGGGTTTTATTTTATAATAATGGGAAGAAGACTTGAGATATGAATGTATTTTAAACAAAACTATATTAGTATTGTAAACTTAAAATGAAGGTTTAATTTATTGATTAGATTTTTTGTGGCTGGAGTTCAAGTTTGTCTAAGATTTCATTGTGCCAAATTAGAATCATGGCATCGGGGAGTTGGAAGGGATGATAAAGTCATCTAATGACAGGAGCCATTTATTGAGTGTTTCCTATGCTGTACTAAGTGCTTTTTGTGGGTTATCTCATTTAATTTTTAAACCAGCTCAGAGAGGAAGATACTGTTATCCCATTTTACAGGTAAAGAAATGAGGCTTAGGGAAATTAATTGACTTGGCCAAGAATGACATATCTATTATAATTCATGTGAGGGATTGGAGTTCCAGTAGATTGTAAAGCTGCTGCTTTTTGAACAGCTCTGCTGGGCTAGATGTTTGTCTTCCATAGACATCCACTCTTGCGGGCTTTATGACTCATTCTCCTTATTGCATTTTTCCCCTGAATATGTTGATTTTTAAAATAAATGTATTCAGAACTAAAAATTATCCTCTAAATACTGCTTTAACTGCATCCCACAAGATTTGATATATACTTCTCTCATATTCATAATTGCATTCTAAGTGTTTTGTAATTTCCTTTATGATATTCTTTTTAACCTACGTGTTGTTTAGAAGCATTTTTTGTGTTCTAGTTCTAACTCTTATTTTGGTTAGTTTTGTTGTAGTTCCTAGGAAGTTTTAAACCTGATTTTTAAGTTACTGATATCTGATTTTATTAATTATAATCTAAGAACACAGTCTATATCATTTTGATTCTTTGGACTTTGTTGAGATTTCCTTTGTGGCCTAGTAATTATAGTTTATGCTTATGTGCTCCTGAAGTATTTATTGAATACACTCTCACTGTTTTTATTTTTGTAAATAGCATTTTTCACGTCCTTTATATCCTAAATTTTATTTTATCTGCTGAGAGGATTGTGTTAAAATCTCCAGTTACAATTATAGATTGTACAAATATAAATACAAATTGTAGATTATCCATTTTTCCATGTTTTGCTTTATGTTTTCAGGGTCACATTAATATTATTAGGTACTTACAAAGAGCTCTAATTGTCTAAAGAGATTTCCTCTTAATGAGCTCAAATCCTATTCTTAGAACTCCCACTTATTAAGCTAGATTTGCCATCTAAATCTATGAGAGCACCCCTGATAGACTTTA